TTTTTTTTTTTTCTTGCGTTATGCGGGCCTCTCACTGTTGTGGCCTCTCCCATTTGCGGAGCACAGGCTCCGGACGCGCAGGCTCAGCGGCCATGGTTCACGGGCCCAGCCGCTCCGCGGCATGTGGGATCTTCCCGAAACGGGGCACGAACCCGCGTCTCCTGCATCGGCAGGCGGACTCTCAAGCACCGCGCCACCAGGGAAGCCCTCACTATATTTTTTGACGTGGTAAAATAATTTCAAAGATAAGGTAGAAATTATAACCATAGCCTAAGAACTGATAATAATTTTTCATATCATAAACAGACCATACATTTTTATTTTAATACAGCCAAGATATGAAATCTATTTTTACATCATTAGAAAGAATCACATATGTGTGGAAGTCCATTTTCACTAGCCTTCAACACAATTTTACAAAACAATATACCTACTGGATACAAGAACATATAAATATTAGACAATCTAAATGTCCACTAACTGGCAAATGGATAGATTATGGTATTCATACTATAGAATATTATACAGTAATAAAAATTAATGAACTATGGTTTCACTCATCTGCATGGATGAATTTTAAAGTTTTTAAATAAAAGGTCATGGAAGAATATATATAGTATGATTCCATTTACATAAATTTAAAAAGAGGCAAAACTAAACAGTGCAAAATTGTAATACAAACAAGGGAATGATGAAGAGAAAATTTAGGATAGTGGTTACCTCTGAGGGAGAGAAGTAAATGTAATCAGAGGAGCCACAGTGGGTGTCACAGATGAGGAATGGTTTATTCATAAAGCAAGGTGTGGGGCACATGGTTGTTTATTATTCCTCCTTAAACTGTAAGTGTACTTTACATACTCTGGAGAAAATGAGAGGTAAGAAAGTGGAGACCATATATGCAGACAACACTTTTTGAAGAGGCTTGGTCTTGAATGGAACGTAAAGAAATAAGAGTAGATGGGGGGAAATGTGGATGTTTAGAGTTTTGTTTTGCTCTTATGCTTTATAAGATATGAAAATAGAGCATCTGAATGGCATAGAAAGAAAGGTTCCATCAGAGGGGAGAGGTTGAAGAAACAGCAGAGGAGAGAACTGATGCAGCAAGTGATGTGAGTGCCCTAACAGGAACAGAAGCCAAGACACACCTGAAGGAATACCACCCAATTCAACCCAGCAGGAGGCAGGCGAGGAGAGAAACAGGTACAGCAGATTCAGACATTTGGTGGTGGGAAACCATGTCTTCACTGCTGGCTTGTTCCTCTTGACTGAGGCAAGGTTTTTAGCTGAGAGGGAAGGGCTAGAGTTGGTTTTAAGAAAAAGTGAAGGCATGAAATAAGTTTTGGACAGAGAACAAACCAACCACAGATAAAGGCAGGTGCCCTCTTGAACAACTCACCATACCTATTTCCTTTGTCTGCCTAAAATGTATTTCCCCTTCCTTTTCACCTAGGAAATCTTGCCATCCTTCAGGACTTACCTCTGTTTCTATGTCCTCTGTGAAGCCTTTTCTGACTGGTCCATGGTAATCCTACAGCTCTTGACTGTATCATTTTTCACTTACTCATGACCTATCTTGCAGTAATTCTTCTGTGTTGTATCAATACATGATTTAATTTTACATGTTGTCTCCTTAATTACAGTTCTTGTGGGCAAAAATCATGTCTTTTTTTTTTTTTAATAAATTTATTTTTGGCTGCGTTAGGTCTTTGTTGCACGGGCTTTCTCTAGTTGAGGCGAGAGGAGGCTACTCTTTGTTGCGGTGCACGGGCTTTTCGTTGCAGTGGCTTCTCTTGTGGAGCACAGGTTCTAGGCGCATGGGCTTCAGCAGTTGTGGCTCGCGGGCTCTAGAACGCAGGCTCAGTAGTTGTGGCATACGGGCTTAGTTGCTCTTCAGCATGTGGGATCTTCCCGGAACAGGGCTCGAACCCGTGTCCCCTGCATTGGCAGGGGGATTCTTAACCACTGCACCACCAGGGAAGCCCCATGTCATTTTTTTAAAACACTGTCCCTCCCACTTTCAGAAAAATAGTGCATTCTCATACACACAGGAAAATTTACATGCGTTTTCTAAACATATCATTTACTGAAACAAATATCCTTATAAGCAAATGATAAAATAACTGACCTATGTGAATAAGTAAACTTTGAATCTTCCATTATTTTCTTGTAACGGCTCTTAGTTTTCAAGTTTTGGTTTTAAAATGTACATTTTTAGAAGCCATAGATCCAAAGTTAACATAATTAGTTTAATTAAAAATTTTTTTAAACAGATTGTTTCTGCTCATTGAACGATAACAATTTTTTCTTGACAACTTGTAATATGCTTATGGAGGTAGTTCTCCCAGAAAATGAAGCAGAATGTTATCAGCAAAGACAAATTATGTTAGGAATGCCATCTTGTGGTTGAGAGTAGTCCATTACACCAACAGGTCCTTTGACTGATAATCTTTAATTCAGAAATAAAACATCCAGGAAATTCACAAATGTAAACCACGTTTATAATGTATTGTTACTACAAAGAAGGAAAAACTAAATATGTGCATCAACTGTATGTGATTTTAGTTACCAAAAAAGACAATGTTCATTGAAAAGAGAGACAGTAGACAAATTATATAGGAATGGAGTCCAAATAATACAGGAAAACTGGTAGAACTAGAAACATACTTCCATGAAGACTATTCAAATACTCTGAATTTTGGAAAGCTTTTCTCTTGAAATAGATACATAATTTTATTTCCATATCCACTATTAAGTAGTTCTGTTGATTATTACATCGTGGATTTAAATCTTGTGTCTTGGTTTTCAAACTACATCACCTTAACTCTACATATCCAAAGGGGAGTGAAGGCCAGAGCACTTATCTAATCTGGGTGGCGTAGAATACACATAATTAATTACAAGTCCGAAATGGAGAGTCAAAAACACTACTAGCCCTTTCTTAATAGATGAGCTTACTAATTCCTCCACAGAAGTTAACCATTAGAGTGGTAAATTATCTTTCTATTCAATAGAGAACTGGTAATGGTTACAGATGTACTGCGTAACAACTACGCTTAAATATTTTAATTGCCAGATTGAATGCCAGACATTTTGGTCTGCTTAAAAGTGGGGGTGAGGGAGTAGAAACTGATATATCCCTCACGAGTGCAAAGCACAGCACAAGGGTCTGTGCACTATGCTACCTTTCTGTCACTTCCAGATTAAGGATCCAAGGAGCATGTGTGGGTATAAAGTTCAGATCTAGAGATTAGGCTATTGAAATTCCGAAAGATAACAGATCTACATATAGACATACATATTTACATAAAAAACAAAACGTTGGGCTTCCCTGGTGGCTCAGTGGTTGAGAGTCCACTTGCCGATGCAGGGGACACGGGTTCGTGTCCCGGTCCGGGAAGATCCCACGTGCCGCAGAGCAGCTAGGCCCGTGAGCCATGGCTGCTGAGCCTGCGCGTCCGGAGCCTGTGCTCCGTAACGGGAGAGGCCACAACAGTGAGAGGCCCACATAGCGCAAAAAAAAAACAAAAAAAAACAAAACAAACAAACAAAAAAAAACGTTATTTGTATTCCAAATCAACTTTTGTGATCTATTATTGCATGCTTATCACCAGAACATTTTTTTTTTACTCAGAAAACTTTTATATGAAGTGATTTTGTGCTAGTTTTTCCACGTGACTCTTCAGGACATTCACATCAGCTGCACAGACCTGGCACTCCATCTTCTCTTGCTGTTTTGTTCTCTCTAATAAAGCCTCATGAGGTGGAGGTAATGCATTGTATGAACTCAGTAAATAAACCTGACTTGATGAAGTCTGACTGATTTCTTTGATCTTTAAAGCCTGCATGATAGCAGGTGCAAACTTTGAGTAATGAGCTGTAGATGAGACGATCACTGGGCAGGTTTTATCTTGCATTCTGTCTGCAACTACTTTTGCAACAGCAGTGTGTGGATCCAAAATATACCCGGAAGTATTGTAGGTAGAGTGAATAGCTGCTAGGCACTCTCCCTCAGAGCACCAGTCAGCTACAAAATCCTGCTGAATTTTCTCAACTAGAATCTTTTCTATCTGGAAGTGATGCTGCTCTTCTAATTGATTAAATAATCTTGTCATTAATTGTCCATCTTTATTAGCCATCAAGTGTAAATGTCGCTCCAGGTTTGAAGATTTGAGAATATCAATTGCTGGTGAAAAGGTTTGTGCTAATTTTCTTTCCCTTAGATCATAATGTCCTGTTTTTATAAAATCAGTCAAAACATGGTTCTGATTAGAAGCACAAATAAATTTTCGAATAGGGATTCCCATGGTTTTGGCATACACTGCTGCTAAAATGTTACCAAAGTTTCCTGTGGGAATACACACATCGACTGGGCTTCCAAAAGAAATAAATCCTTGGCTAACGAGATCAAGGTATGCAGAAGCATGATAAACTACTTGGGGAAGCAGTCGGCCCCAGTTTATGGAATTAGCTGAACTTAACACTGTTCCATATTCCACAGTAAGAAAGCCAGTAAAATCAGAATCTTGAAAAATCCTTTTTATAGATGTCTGGCAAAAATCAAAATCTGACTTGACACCTACTGCCCATCCATTTTCGTTCTGACAGCCAATTATTTGTGCTTTTTGAAAATCACTTACTCCATCCTCAGGAAAAAATGTGGCCACAGCTATTCTTTGCTTGTCATCCTTACTAAGACGACTAAAACCATTTAAGACTGCACTCCCGGTGTCTCCTGAGGTGGCTACAAGTATCATGTAATTACAACTTGGTGGAATACAGTGTGCAAAAAGATGGGGCATGAGCTGTAAAGACAAATCTTTAAATGATCCCGTTGGTCCATGGAACAACTCCAGGATGAACTGGTTGCCTGACAGGTGCCTGACAGGGGCAATTTTTGAGCAGGCAAAGTTTTCCCCATAAGCAGTTTCAATCAGTTCTCCCAACCTGGAAGCAGGTATGTCAGCAGGATGTATACATTTTTCCAAGAGTATTTGTGCTCTTTCTATGTACGTTGCTCCTACGAGGCTTTTCCACTCCCCAAAGTTTAATTTTGGAAACTCCTTCTCAGGAACAAAAAGTCCACCATCAGGAGCTAACCCCTCAGTCACAGCTTCACTGAAGAATTTTGTTGGGACCTTCTGTTCACAGTCTTTAGGCAAAATGTGTCTTGTGGAAATGAATGTTTCGGAGTCCACATCTTGGTATCTTTTAACTGCATTCAGCACTTTGTCAGCTACCTCCTCCGGGGAAGCCCCATTTTCACATAAAACACGAGTATCGTACCACTTCTTATAATACTGTCTTCTAAACTTAAGTAAGTCTTTCATAGATGTTTCAGAATTCTGACCTACAATCCTATCTATTTTCATTAATTTTAGACGACTAACTATATCTATTGGAGGTACATCCAGATAAACAATTATTCCATTTTTCTTCAGATGCCGCATGCTAGCATCATGCATTGGATTGGACCCAGTAAGGGAAATCACACTTCCAGATGCAGAGAAGTTTAACACAGCTTTTCCTTCCTCTTCTAAAAATTGCTCATTACCAACATCCTGCAATTTTTCAGACACACTCATATTCCAGGTTTTTTCAAGGATATCATCATCCACATCTATGACACAACAACCTAGTTTCTGACCTATTATTCTGCCTACTGTTGTTTTCCCAGCACCGGGTGGTCCCATCAGGATAATATTTTTGTCTCCAACAAGAGAGTAGATTGAGTGCCATGACTTCCTTAATTCTGCAAGTGCAAAGGTTCTTGAAAGAAATAGCTGTGCATGTTTATCCGTTTTCACATGTGTACTAGAAAAGCATTTCTGAGTTATTTGTTTCAGATGCTGACATCGGTTCAAGTAGAGCATTCTCTTTTCACTTTTCTGCGCAAGCCAACCTAAAAACTGGCTTTGGCCCTTTCAAACATAAAAACAAACAAAAAAGACATTTCGTTACTAATTTCAAAAGACTATCCCAATAGGATTAAGTATAACCACGCCCACAGTACATACACTGTTTAAAATTCTTCCAAATTTATGGGATATTTTAAAAAGTATTTGAACCCAAATTCTCATTTGTTTCATATTATCCTTTTAACAATCTTTTCAAGTCTCAAGACATTGAGTAATCAAAACTTTAACAATTTGTAACTATGAGCAACACTTAATTCAGAAAATGCCGTATCATAGATGCTTTTTCAAAAAGATACTAAATCAAATTAGTATTTATTTTCCTATAATGAAAAGTGTCTCATGGTTTATAACCCATGTAAATAAGGATTATTTGGAGTTGGAATGCTATTTACTTGCAATTCAAAAAGCTGAACAATACTCTTTATATTTAATTTCTCTTTAGTTATATGAAAATGTTGATAGATTATCATGTTACTCATAATTTCTGAGTCAAAGAATTCACAAGAAACCAGAATAAAATATTTGCCTATAAAAATAAATAAGATGCTTAAATAATTTTCCAAACTATAGGGCAAAGGTATGGCATTTTTTCTTACATGCCTTTTACATGCACACTGTTAAGAATCATTCTTACATATTTTTCATGTTGAAGGCCTTTTAAAAAAAGCTAGTGAAAGATATAACATTATGCAAATACTTAAGAAAAATTGATAATCATCAGCAAAGTCAAAGGCTACATATCTATAACCTTCTCTGCATGGGACCATCACTTTAATTTCTGTCCTATAAACATCATCAATGGAGAGACTTAACTCAAATTCCAGACTCCAGAGTGATAGCAAAAAAACTCAGGAATGTTTCCAATGATAAGAGGACAAACTTATTCTGGCATCCAGAGAAGCTCTGTCATTCCCCATACTGGTCAAATCCCTGCCTTTGGAAATATACTCACCATTAAAACACAAATGTATGCAAGACAAGTCAAATTTTTAGTCATATGTAAAGTACCATTTAATAACTGCTGCAATGTTTATTTAAATTGACTAAAGTAACTTTACAGACATGTAGTGGGGCTTTTCACGTGTTCTGTGGTAGAACCAATATGCAACTAAGCCACATTAAATGTCAGATCGTATGTTTAGACATGTTCTGAAAACTTTCAATCATTTACCACTCTGATCATCTATGCTACTCACTGTTCTCTAATAAAACATTTAAACTATTTTAAGCTAACACTGAATTTAACTTATATTAGAACTTTTAAAAGAAGGAATACATTTCCTTATTTGGCTTTTCAGCTTGTATGTGCTTAACTCCCACTGACTTGTAAACATATGACACACAGGAACCAGTCTTAGGTATAGAGTTTGTGGATGCTGAGGCAAAGCCAACTTTGCAAAAAGTGGAATCTATAAGGGAAAAAATTTCAAGTTAATCATAACAGTATCATAAAATTCCACACAGTCTATTGTTAAAATGTCCATCTGAAATTTTTTAAGTACAGAAAAATAATAAACTGACCCTTTTCATGGTTCCCTAAAACTATTATTAAAAAATTAAAATACTGTCTTTTTTTTCCAATATGTGCATCTTATGATAAAAGAGTTTTACTAAAAAAAATTTAAAAAGTCTTACTAGACAGTACCAAATTTCTGCCACAAAGCAATATATAAGACAACATAACCAAATGATAAATATAAATCTTTCACATGAATATAAATCTTTCACATGACACCTAAAACTTTCAATGATTTAACTGTATGTTTAGTGATCAGTGGACTGAGGCTATGAAATGAGTATCTGAATTACTCTTTTAGGTTGTTTTATCCATCTGAATCACTACATGATTTAGATGCAATAATATCTCCTGTAAAAAGCACAAAGTGTCTGCCACACATGGGTACCTCTTGGCTATTTAAATGATTTTATAATAAATTCAAAGCACATAGCATGGTGGCTGGCACATAAGACCATTTATATAGTAATATTAACCACTGTCACTCAATGACAATAGACTAAAAACATAAATTGAATCAGAATATCTAGGCACAAAGCTAGGCATATTTTTTTATGGTTTGGTTTGTTTATAAACCTTCAGAGAAAACAGGGGTACTCATCTGTGAATCAAGAACTGTTTTGTCAAGCACAGTCTAATCCTTTCCCTGAAACAAACCAAGGATCAGAGAACTGTACACTTGAACCCTATCAGCAATTTCTTTTATACTTTTATTCTGGAACTCTTCTTTAACACATTATTTTGAGGACGCTGTAGAAAACAGCCTGATTAACTTCCTATTCAGCTGGCTTTTGCTTATAACATCACAGAGTGTCTTCTTTTTTAGTTCCCAGTGCATAACTTTCTGAGGTCTATATTGGTAATAATTGTGTATTACCTGAGTAGCTGGTTTGTTTTTATGGCATTAAATCTTTTATCTGATCTTTTCCACTTTATGTTGGTTGCTACAATGCTTAACATCAACTCCATTAAAAGCAGAAGACTGTAACACAAACATTATGCATGTTAACTTCACCTTATCTTTCGTAACTTTATTCTTCCTTTGTTTTATATGAATTCAAAGTAGAAAATTGTGACAGTTCAACTTATTAATTCTGTATCAATATTACTTCACCATAAAAATCTTCCTGAAATTAGCAGAAGGCAGGTATTAAGTGCTCTAACATTATCATTTTTAAAGAAAATAAAGAAGCTACATACTAAATTTTGTAACATTTAGTCACAAACTCATTTTAGGGTTTCAGCATCCACTGCAAGCCAACCAAAAGACAAGAGAAGATGGAATAATGCCCACAGCATGTAACTTTTATCTGGAAACTGCATTTTTACTTAAGAGGTAATATAGTCAATTTTTATTATTCATGGTAGTTATGTTCTGTCACATCACCATGAATATGAATTAGTGAATATTGAACCATTGCTCCTAGGGGAAATACAGGGTTAGGTTCCTGTGAGCCTCTGGTCACAAAATTTTTGCCAACCGATCAATATGTAATGTTTTATGTGTGTTTCTGCTTAAAGACATCTTATTTAATATATACACATAGTGATACATTACCATTGAACTCAGCCTTTAACTCACACCTGAAGGAAACTTATCTAATACACACATTTTCTCTGTAAGGGACATCGTGGCCTTAGTGCCTTAGGAACATGAGCAGCACTTCAGCGCTCTGCTTGGGGGCCATTTTAACCAGCAAAATCACCAGCTAGAAGCACCAAAATGCAAAAAATGTGGCACTTAAATAGGATTCAAAAGACACTTGTTTATAGTAGGAGCTGAAACAAGAAGGCAGAGCATCACCTTAACTACAGCTTGGAATGCATATCTCGTGACTCAAATTTTTCACCACTGTGCACGTGACCATGAATGATTGCAAAAGTGCTACAAGTATTAATTTTGGGTTATAAATAAATTTTAGCGAGTAGAATTCACAAATATAGAACTTGTGAAAAGTGAGGACCAACTGCATACCATTTTCCTTTATGATTCAAAGCCATGCTATTAGACTTTTTCATTTACTTATATTTTAATACGTTTTTCAGTACAGGGGTTATGAGTAGGCAATTTTTCTTCAGCCAAAGAACAAAACTATTTCAAATTAAATGCAAGTCAATCACATAAGAGTCAAGAAACAAAAACAGTACTTAAAGACTACATCTCTTGATCATTAAGTACTCAGGTTTTACTGAATCATTGATGTTCTCAAATATTTTTTGTAGAGCCAAGTTCTACACAAAAAATATTTTAGTAAACTCTCTAATTTCTCAGGGGATAGAAGATATATACCACTCCATTATACATTAATAGGTTTTCTTATCACTTACAGTGGAGTTTTTTGATCCACTAGTTCCAATGGACACGTTTTTGACATGAAAGACACTTGCCATTCAAACAGATAAATGGAAAGGCAGTGATGTGTCAGTATCACAGCAAGAACTTTAAAAAACAGAATGTCCACATGTACATATTAATTTAAGTACTGTGTGACCTCAAAGTATGAAATTTAACAATTTTACTGCGGCAAGCTGATCAAAACTGAAGAATTCAAGGAAAAAAAGTACAGAAACCACTTTTTAAAAGGTTTTTAAATTATTTCCTAAGAATGATAACAAAGTTATACACTTTTAAAACAGAAATACATATTAATTTTCAGGAAACTATTTACAGTGATATTTTCCTACATTTACCACTAGATGATTGATAATCAGCCAAAGTCATATTAAACCCATTATCAATTTTTACTTCCAAAATAGTCCAGAAATTTTCAATTCCATTATAAAATTACCTGCAATACTTCTGGGAAATTGTCAAAATCTATTTAGTGAAAATGATTTAGCATTTGTTACCCATTTAAAATATTTGTTATTACTCTCCCAAAATAAAACATAAGACATAGCACTTCAAAAATTATTTCATGATGAGAACCGGCTACAGTTCAATGAACTTTTGAAAATATTTATGCCATGATTCTACTTGTCATCCTGTTTTAATACAATCTCTATTTAAATTTCTAAGGATGACTAAATCTAGTCCACTATTTTATGAAGAAAGACATTCTAAGGTTTTAAAAAAATTCTTAAAAAATTACTGTATTTTTACAATAAATTGTTTTCACATAAGTAATACGAAAAAAATGGAAATATATTAGGATACAAACTAACCCGCAGAAGGTTAGAAGCTTTGCTGCTTCTGACTACTAAGTAAAAATCCTCTTAAGCCTTCAGTCAGTCAGCTGACTGAAACAGTGAGGAGGAAGGACCACACTTCAGTGCCATGTGGTAATCACAGGGGTCTTACAATCAAAGCATTTTCCAAGTTCACCACTCATCTTTGCCTTTATCTTAGAATCAAGCTGACTAAGCCTTTCCTGTTGGTAGTCTTACGCTGTTATATATCTTTAAGGTCTTGCGTATCTAATTCAAAAGCCTCTTTAAGTACCCTTTGCAATTCTATAACTTAGAAAAATATTGTAAAGAA